TGCTAAGCTGAAACTCCCTGCCTCGAGCAGCAAACTTAACAGGAGCAAGAGTAACAATACCAAACGTCCATGCGTCGCTTCGCTCCGCAAGCTACAACGAGTTCCTACATAATTCCGAGACGCTTAAAGTGCAATCGCTTCGCTCCGCACGATCCGCATCTGGTCTCTCCTTCCATTTCGTCGTGGCAATCCATTTCCACCTTTGCATATTCCTCAAAAGGACGGCAGAAGACATTTTCAAAGCAGCTTCCGATGCAGGCAGTGTCTCTCCCTGAGATATCGTAGTGGCACTTCTCCCAGTCATCCTTGCAATGGATGCGGTTGTAATCGCAGCCTGATTTGGGCAAAGCCAATTGGTCTGATAACAATGCTCTCCTGTCGTCCAAATCTGAATCTTGGCCATCCGCTTTTGTGCCTCCATCACCGAACGGTTAAACACAGCCATGGAGTAGCAGCCCAGCAAGGATTGGAATGAGTGGCGGGACCCCGGCGTCCGCCACCGATAACCGGACCAAAGGTTGGCGATCACCGTGAGATGCAGCGCCGCGAACTGGGATAACTAAGCCCCTGACGTCTTGCTTGGAGTGGTGAACTGCGGAATTCTGTCAAGCATCAACATATGGGCAAAATTCATCTCAGCGTGCATGGCATCCACGACTTTCTGCGATGAGTTCAAGGTGCCGTTGGGAAATCTTCTCGAGTTATCCAGAGCCTTTAGTTTTGCATCGAAAAGGATGTTCTGGATGCCTTGTATCTCAGCCTTCCAGAACTCGTGGAACGTTTGCTCCAGCTTTGCATCCACGTAATGCGCTACGAAAGGTTTGATCTGCTGCCAAACGCACTTGCCCCAATCATTTCTCTCAGCATCTTCGCACTGAAGTCGAACGCATTTTTTAGGAAACCGACAGCCGTCCCAAGAATTGGGATCGACTTAAGCGCCTTCACGGAAACGTTTACGATGAATTCAACTGTGCTTTTCGCTACAGCCCTTGCTGCGGACCACTGGTAGCGAGTGGCTGGGTTTTTCTTGTTGAATTCCTGCGCATTCGTGGCACATGCCTCGGAGGAGTTCACTAGCCAATTGTAGCTTGGTTCGGCATGCGCTTTGGCTTGCCGCAGAGCTCTGTCAGCCTCTCATAAGTCTCGTGAAAGATGTAGGGGTTCTCGGCGAAATCAACTAAGATTCGATTTGCAAGCTCGCAGGCCAGATTTTGCGCACGGCAGCCAAGATCAGATTGCTTGCAGTCATCTCGATCCTGATGCAACTGATGTAGCTGCACCATCAACGACTTGTCTTCTTCTGCACAGCCAGGAGCATCCGGCTCAGCCCAACTCAGGACGACTGCCGACACAAAATGCAACAAAAGATGATGCTTGCACATGGCTGCGCGATGCTGGGAGAGGCACTGCTTTGACCAGGATCCAAGTCGAGCCAACAGACACTGGAACAGACAAGTGAAATAGCAACCTTTCGGAACTCAAGAACTAGTACGAACTGGCTGAAAATTGGCTGAAATTGGCGCTGCTATGCACTGTGACCGCGCATTTCGAATCTTTGCCCACTCCTGTGTTTCCAGGCTTCCAGGCGGCTGCAGAAAGGCGATTCCATTGACATCACCGGGCCCTTTGCTTTTGCAAAGCGGTGTGTCCAACACCCGCCTCCAGCCGAATTTGGGCTCTCACAGGAGCCGTCAAAATTGCGGTTTTTCCGGGTGACTGACTGGCTGACTGCTTTGCAAGCCTCGGTTGCCACACGAATTTCAAACGAGCTCGGTCTGCGCATGCAGAATACAAACTACATCAAATTTGCAAATATCTTACCTGGATGACACCTTAAGGTCATGTCCTCTTTAAAAGTTTCAAGAATCACGGGATCTGCCTGGGCCCTCGCGCAATCTCCAGAGGTTCCGTGCCCATCGGCATTGGCAACTGCACGTGGTCTGGGTCTGTTTGGGTGGGTGGAGCCGCCGTCAGAAGCACGGAGAGATCAGATAGGGCCTTGCCGCCTTGCCGTTTTGTCGGAAGGAAGGCTTTTGGCTCAGATCTTTGGCAGCCAGCAAGTCGCTAAGGCGCACCGCCGCCGAACCTCGGAACTTTGAACGCACATAGATGCCGATCACAATCAGGTGGTGATCGGCCAATCCTGCCAGACAGATACCATCGGCGGCATCGGCCTGGGCTTCTGACTTCACAGCGACTCTCGTTGATGCTTGGAGGTGACCTGGGACTTGGCAGCTGAGGCAGACATCAGATGTGTCAGATTGTTTGGAGGCTATCCGAATCCTCTCCAAGCGAAGCGCATATGTCTTCGCGCGACTGCAAGCAAAGGGCAGGCTGGTGTCCACGTCCGTGCATGCCACCAGCGGCAAGAAAAGGCAGACGAGCAGACCCGGCGTGAGGCAGAGGCTTCTGACTACGCCAGTGGTGGCCGAGATCAGGAAGTCCTCGCCGTCGGCAAGTTAAACAGTACAACTCTAAGCGGTCACGCTTTTCTCTGGTTGAACCAAAAGGCGCTGCGTCGTAGCCATGTGATTCATGGGCTCCACAAAGGTGTGGGACAT